AGACATTTTCAAGTTTTACAAAGTAGGTGAGTTTACCATATGTGCACATCTTTGCGCTGGATGCAATTACAAACCACACATGGGGTTAATGCACCGCACTCTTAAAAGCATTTCCACCGTAACGTGCTTGGTGATAAGTGATGAGTGACAAACACACAGATGTACAGGGGCAATCCCATGATGCACTACAGTACGAAAGTGAGAGTCAGTGAAAATTGCAAAAATTTGTAACTAATTATTTGACTGGTTTGTAAATGATTCCCAAGATTGAACTTAGTCGTACTTCCAACATTCGTTGAAGATCAGTGATCAAACGATTCACAGAATAGGTGGAAATTGTGGAAAACATTTGCATAATTTACAGCGAGTCGATGACTATTGTCAAGACAACAAGCAAGTATTTTCAAGACAACGAGCGAGTATTGTCATGACGAGCGAGTATTGTCATGACGAGCGAGTATTGTCATGACAACGAGCGAGTATTGTCATGACAACGAGCGAGTATTGTCATGACAACGAGCGAGTATTGTCATGACAACGAGCGAGTATTGTCATGACAACGAGCAAGTATTGTCATGACAACGAGCGAGTATTGTCATGACAACGAGCGAGTATTGTCATGACAACGAGCGAGTATTGTCATGACAACGAGCGAGTATTGTCATGACAACGAATGAGTATTGTCATGACAACGAATGAGTATTGTCATGACAACAAATGAGTATTGTCAAGACAACAAATGAGTATTGTCAAGACGACGAATGAGTATTGTCAAGACACCGAGCGAGTATTGTCAAGACACCGAGGGAGTATTGTCAAGACACCGAGGGAGTACTGTCAAGACACCGAGGGAGTACTGTCAAGACACCGAGGGAGTACTGTCAAGACACCGAGGGAGTATTGTCAAGACACCGAGGGAGTATTGTCAAGACACCGAGGGAGTATTGTCAAGACACCGAGGGAGTATTGTCAAGACACCGAGGGAGTATTGTCAAGACACCGAGGGAGTATTGTCAAGACACCGAGGAAGTATTGTCAAGACACCGAGGGAGTATTGTCAAGACACCGAGGAAGTATTGTCAAGACACCGAGGGAGTATTGTCAGACACCG